CCTCCCCGCTTCTCTCGGCCCGTCTCACCCCCCGGGTGTCCTGAGGGGGCAGGGGAAGCCGGCCTTACCCGAGCGGCCGCCGGCGGCGGGCCCCGCCAAGGGCTGGGAGGGAGGCGGCTTCGCAGCGCCGGGGAGGGAGGCAGGGAGGGGTGCGGCCCCCTCCCGCGCGGAGGGAGGCGGGGGGGCGCGGAGAGGGCGCGGGGCTCTGGCGGAGCGGCCTCTCCTCCTCCTCGTCGTCGTCGTGGTGGTTGGCGGTCGGCGGTGGTGCCCGTTCCCCCTTCTTCTGCCGCCCGCGCCGGTCTCGGTCGCCGCTCTTGTCGGTCTTGTCAGTGGCGCCCCGGCCGCCAGGAAGGAGGGAGGGGAGGAAGGAGCGAGGCGAGGAGGGAGCAGGCTCGGCCCGCCGCGCGCACTGCGCATGTGCGCCCAGCCGAGGGGGGCGGGGACAGGCGGCGGGAGACCATCTTGGGGAGGGGGAGGCGAAAGCTCGCCGCCTCCCGGCGTGCACTGCGCCGCCGCCGCCGTGGGCCCGGCTCCCGGCATGCGCTGCGGCGGCGGCTTTGCCTCAGCCCGCTCCCCTCCCCGCCTGCTCGCCGTGGCCCTTGTTCCGCGGTCCCTCAGGAGCTCTTATTGGCTGTCATTATTACTACCCTTGAGGAAATATCCTTTTTCTGCTGCTCCCGTAGCTCTCTGTTGGTTATGCTTATTACCGTCCAGGTCCTGCTGTCTCTCTAGTTCCTTGGTAGTTTTTATGATTGTAATTTTTTTTTCCCCTTCAGGACATAGCGAGTCCCTCAGTATTCCCTTATGTGTCGCTGTTGGTATTATTATTCGGGAAATGTCTGTCTAGTCCCTAATAAATTTCATATACGTTATTTTGGAAGCACCAATTTTTTTTAGTCCTCACGTACTTTCTTATTAGCTAGGAAATGCCTTTCTAGTCTCTCAGTAGTTCCTAATTTGTGCGGCTGCTATTATTATTATTATTATTAGCCACCGCTGCTATGAAGAACTGACAGCTGAGGGTCAGAGAGCCCTGGTTCCCCTTGGAATTCTAACAACAGCCTGAGCTAGTCGTCACCGGCAGGATAATCAAAGAAGACCGAAGAACTGACTGAGAAGAGAGAACTGAACAGCAAGAGCCGTTATGAAATCAATGTCACTAAAACTTTACTATACTGTGTGGTCTAAGTGGTTTTAGTATTGTTTTAATCTAATTTATATTTTATGTTTTATTGTAAACTGTGTGTTGACTTTATGTAAGCTGCCCTGAGCCTGCCTTGGCTGGGAGGGTGGGGTAGAAATTAAATTATTACTATTAGTATTATTATTAATAATAATAATTAATTCATTGTTATAGAAATTGTTTCTAGTCCCTGAATCATTGCTGCAGGAAGTGGTGGCAGCATCGTGCAGGGGTTGGACTAGATGACCCTGGAGGTCCCTTCCAATTCTATGACTTTACAAGGGGACTGAATAAACATATAGAGCAACATGTAGATGGAACACTATGTCTGGACAGTTATGCTCTGTATTCTTGGTGCTTGGGGGGCAACAGTGGGAGGGCTTCTGAAGTTCTGGCCCCGCTGGTGGAGCTCCTGATGGGACCTGGGTTCTGGCCACAGGGTGTTGAACTGGATGGGCCATTGGCCTGAGCCAAAATGGCTTCTCTTAACTTTCTGTATATTACTTTGGAAAAACTATTACTAGTCCCTCAGTAATTCTGTATTTATTATTTTTATTATTATCTGAAAAGGTGACCTTTGACTTATGACAGCTTATGCTCTAGAAAATGTTGTTGGTCTCTGCTACCAAACTTAATTTTATTCTTTTCTTAATACTACCATTCTAGTCCCTTAATAGCTTCTTATGGATACTGAGGAAATATCTTTCTAGACCAGAGGTGTTGAACTCATGTGTTATGAGGGCTGGATCTCACATAAATGTCTCTCTGTTGGGCCAGGCCACACGTGCCATAAAATGTCACACGAGGTACCGGAGACATAAAGTTTATAAAGGTTATTTCAGATGTCGAATGGCAATAGCAGGCTTGATTGGATTAGGGTGATATGCAGAGGGGTAGTAGGTGTGGAGATACCAGCGTTGGTAATGAGACATGAAACCTAAGTCTCAGTTCCATCCAGGAGGATGCAAACAAGAAGAAGAAGAAGAGATTGGATTTATACCCCACCCTTAACTCGGAGTCTCAGAGTGGCTTACAAACTCCTTTCCCTTCCCCTCCGGACAACAGACACCCTGTGAGGTAGGTGGGGCTGAGAGAGCTCTTCAAGAACTGTTCTTTAAAGGACAGCTCTGACAGAACTATGGCTTGCCCAAAGTCATCCAGCAGCTGCTAGTGGAGGCGTGGAGAATCAAACCCAGTTCTCCCAGATTAGAGTCCATGCACTTAACCACTACACCAAAATGGACATAAGTCTGGCATTAGAAACTGCAACATTCAGTTGCTGAGTTTAGAGTAGCAGTGCTTTTACAAAGGAATTTCAAAGAGAGATTAGAAAGGGAGACTGCTGAATTGCAATTGATAATGAAGCTTTAGACAATGCATCCTCCTGGACTGAATTGAGAGCTAGTTTTCCTGTCTCATTACCAATGTGTGCTATTATCATTTGGTACCTGAAATCACTCCACTCTCCAAGATTTAATCAAAGTGTTCTAATTCCTAATCAGGCTCTTTTTGGGAAAAAATAAATGCAGATATGAACAGATAAATCCAGTCTTTTTTTTAAAAAAAAAAAAAACTTTTCAGAATAAGCCAAAATAATTTCCTCATACAGTGTGCGTGTCAGAAGAACCCACTTACTCCCTCCTAAAAAGTATGCTTGCATGCAAAAGCTTAAAGCTGGAATAAAACGTTGTTGGTCTTGAGGCTGCAATAGGATTCCAACTTTGTTTTCTCTCTCCCCTCCCTCCCCAAAAGAGGAGGAGCGGCCCCAGAGAAGGAAGCAGAAGTTATTTACTACCAGCATGGTTTTTCCGCCTCTTTGTATCTTAACTATAACCACTCTACCATCCTTAGATTCATAAATCATTTCTGGGTGTAGTGAATCCTTCACATACGTCACCACCCCTTTTTTCTTTTTATTAGGGTCCGATGAGGCAAACTTAACCCCTATTTTATTATTTTCTAGATATTTTTGATGTTCCTTTTTAATGTGGGTTTCCTGCAAACAAATAATATGTAATTTAGACTTCAAAAGTTGATGAAAAATTTGTTTCCGTTTTTGCGGACTATTAAGTCCGTTAATGTTAATTGATATTACCCTTATTTCGTTACTCCTCCTTCCTTCCATCTTATTTAGTGTTCTTTTTTCTTCTATAAAATAGTCTGGTACGCACTTGTAACGGGATTTCTTTAGCTTTCCTAGCCTTCCTTTCTTGTTTCCTTTCCTTCACCTGTCCACTCTCGTTATCCTCCTCCTTATCTTCTCCTTCTTCTTGGCCCTCACTTTCTTCTGACGCTTGAATCTCAAGTTCTTCTCCAAATCTTCTAATAAAATCATCCATTTTGAAGATAGAATTTATCTTATACCATCTTTCTTTGTAATTAAACACAATGCCCTCTGGCATTAGCCATTTAAATTTTATCCCTTTTCTTTTCAACGCATTTACTAATTTTAGATACAGCTTCCTTTTTTCTCTAATCCTCCAAGGGACATCCCTCAATATTTTAATTTCTTTTTCTTGGTGAATTAATGGCTTCTGTAGGGCAGAATTTGCTCGCGTAATCTTTTCCTTGCAAACCTAACGTGAATTTCTCGCGGCAATTTATTCTTTCTGGCAAACGCCGAGTTCACACGATACGCCGATTCAATGTCATTGTTTATTTTTGTCGCATCTTCTTCATTAATGTATTCTGCTAGTAATTGTGTTACATTTTGTTGGACATCCTCTCCTTGTTCAGGTATATTTTGAAACCTTAAAGTATTCTCGTTTTCAAGTTTGGACACAGTCTCTTCCAGAGCGCTTATTTTCTGTTCATAATCCTCCATCTTATTTTCTAAACTACTCATTGTATTGGCCAAAATTTCAATCTCCTGTTTATTTTCCAACATTAATTCCTTGGTTTCTTCCATTTGCAAGTCAAATTGCTTTGTTAAATTATCGATTTTTATATGTATTGGTTCCAACGCCTTCTCTACAACCGGATGCAAAGCGGATTGCAAAGCTAGATTTATTGCTGGGGGTATCGCAGCACTCACTGCGGTTGCCACCGCCTCCTGTATAAGAGCATTTAAATCCTTTACATTCACCTGGACAACCTGTGGTTGCCCAGGGGCCGAAAAAGACGGTCTCCTGCCTCCCGTTGCCATATTGGACCTTACTAGCCCTTACTAGTCCTTACCCCTTTATAATTTCCCTTTCCTTTTCCCCCTACTTCCGTTCCTTTCACTTCCCCTTAGGCATATTTCAGTCACTGCCATCTAAAAATGCACACCAACATATACATCAACATGTACATCAACACTTTGTCAGTCATTTAGCAGTCTCTTAAATATGTACACTGTTCCTTTATTTCTGTCTTCCTTCTCTCCAACTTCTTCCGTTTCCTTCGGCTTTATCGCTCTTCTTTCTTCTCTTTATATGTCTTTATATGTCCTGTCCCCTTATTTGTATCTTCTCTGTCTGTACTTCTTTTCCTATTTTCAGCTGCCAGGGTATTGCACCGCTCACCAGTCAGCACGCCAATCTACACGTCAATCTGCTTCTCTCCCGTTCTCTTGTTCTGTCCGTTCCTATTCGCTTTATTAACCATCTCTGTTCAATCCACTCTGTTCCTCTTATGATTCTTCCCTCCTCTCAAGCGCACAACCCCACCTCTAAGCGCACAGTCAGCGATTCTCTAAGGCAGCTCGACTCATTCTCAATGCTTTTTAACAAAGTATCTGTCCCTCTCTTGCAGTTAATACGGTACCGTCTCTCCTCTCGACCTTCAGGCTTGCGTCAGAACGCCACACCGTTCCCTGCCGCTTGTTTAACTGCGCGTCCTCGCAGACCCTCGGTCGTTCCCATGTAAAGAACCTTTAAAGTAAACGCTTTCATGGAATCAAAAATCAAAAGTCAGAAGTCGATCACCTCACCATCCTATTTCTCCAGAGTGATCTGTATTCTCGGTGGCTCCGACTGAGCTCCTTTCTTCGGAGTGTTTCCTTGGGTATGGGCCATTGAAAAAAGGTAAGCACGCCGCAGGTCGCCCCCCGGAGCCACCTCCTTCACTCTTCATACACGGACCCCTCTACAGGGGGTTCGCTGGGGTATGGGCAGGGTCTCCCCCGCTCAGTCACCCCTCCAAACACCCAAGAAATTCGTTGCTAGGCAGAGCGCTCTCTCTGCCCAACCTCGTCCCGTCACGCCGAAACCAGAAGTCAGGAAATATCTTTCTATTTCTTAAAGTAAGTCCCTGCTTATTGGTGTTAAGGAAATGTCTAGTATT